CTGTCGCTGGGCTAGGGGACCTATTCGTCGTCCCTGCATCGTGCGTAGGTTGAGCGTCATGTGCAGACGCGGAGCGTTGGTCGGCTCCATCTGTCTGGATACTCTCATCAGGAGGCATGTTGCCAAAGGAGACTAAAGTGGTGAGCTGCTATTCCAGGACATATAGCGCATTGCGTCTTTATAGACAACGGCGTGGCAGCCACAAGCGGATGAGCAGTACAGACCCGACAGTTGGTGGGACGGCCGGCTTCCACAAACTGAGCCCTGGTAGGACTAGCCATCCCTCAGCCAGAATATGCGGTTCGTTGTGGCCGAGAGCTATGCGTCTGTCGCTCAGCGTGGGACGCTGGTCCAAGGTCGCGGAGGTTAAAAGACCATGCTCCCTCGCTTCTGGCCGTCTCCTGCTTCCTCGACCATACAGTATTTCCAGTCAGACCCTGCGAAGCGGGTACAGAAACATGGCACGAACTATAGTTCCGAGCGTTGCGCTGGGTATGGCCCTTCCCGCCTAGACGGCTCTGTGGCTGACATAGCTTCGAGACCAGCCAAGCCCCTTTGAGGCACGTCCTGGCATGTCCCGACAAACTGTGTTGCTAGACGCACCGTTATTTGGCATCACGCTTCCGACTACACCGAGTAATGCAGAGCCTCATGTCGCGCATCCACCGCGTGTTGAGAGGGTTTGGATTCCTCGGGCCATCGCGTTGTCCGATCGCAGGCGCGTCTTTGCGTGCCATTTGGCATTGCAACAGGCGCTCCTGCAAACGGACTCCTCGCCCAAGCAGAGCGAGTGATGATTGACCCGTGGACTGCTAGTGACTACCGGGTTGTGTCCGCCCGGGACGCCCATTTCGCTGGTGATAGCCAACCACGAACGTGGCGCGTAGCGGCCGTGGCATCAGGTGCTATGCCACACAGTGATCGGGCGACATCGTGATACCAGTCGCACCTTCTTGCAGCGGCTGGCTGTACTTCCTGACATCTAATCACATGGGTTGTTTGGTCTTTCTGAGGGTAGGAGGTAATGAGCAACAAATATAGGTACTCCAGGATATACATTGGTTGTGACACTGGGATTGGATCTTCTTCCCGCGCAACAAAGGATTATGCCTTTACTGATAGATACATATAGCCTCTGAGAGACGAAAACGGCACTAGATAGGTAATTTGACAGTATAACCTTCGCTTGGGGTGAGTAGGACGCATACACGTCAGGACAATGATAAGGATAGGGTAGTCATTTCTAGGTCGATGGCTGGTCCGCAGCATGTACAGATATCGCACTCCATCATTCTCGCTGCGAGTTTCCCAGGGGATCTCGCTAGGATATCGAGATGAGGTTGGATTAGCCATCGCTGGCCGCGTTCTTCCAGTTTACGCACACGAGAGAGAGAGACTAGATTCGACGGGGTGTGATGGCTCCGGCGGTGCTCTTGGGCCGTTGCGTGAGGAAACCCCCGGGCCAGGCCACCCATGACCGGCAACCTCGCTATCTGGCAGCCACGGTAGATCATGACCGACGGCTAGGCCCGAGAGGTGTCCGTCTGGTCCATGGGCAGCTGCAGCCACCGTGGATTGTGAGAGACGACGAGAGATGAGAGGTTGTGGTGGGCCTGCCATCGCGGTGGGGCACTTTGCCTGGATGTGACTGCTGGGTGGCAACCACAATGGAAGACTAGAGACAAGAGGGTGTGGTGGCCCTGCCAATATTGTGGACACCGGGCTGGGTGTCCTTGTCGTGTGGCAGTGGAGGACTAGAGTTGAGAGGGTGTGATGACCCTGCCAATGCTGTGGACTCTTGCCTGGGGTTCCTTCCAGTGTGGCAGCCACAATAAAAGACTAGAGACAAGAGGGTGTGATAGCCCTGCCACTTCTGTGGGCACCTGCCTGGGGGCCCTTGTCGTGTGGCAACCACAATGAAAGACTAAAATTAGGTGGGTGTGTCTGGCCCCGCCAGTACTGTGGACTCTTGGCTGGGGTTTTCTTCAAGTGTGGCAGCCACAATAAGAGACTAGAGTCAAGATGGTGTGATGACCCCGCCACTCATGTGGGCACCTGCCTGGCGGCCCTTGGAGTGTGGCAGCCACAATGGAAGACTAGAATCAAGAGGGTGTGACGGCCCTGCCAACGCTATGGACACCTGCCTGGGGGGCTGGTACCACACCTATAGTGCTACCACATGACTCTCCAGTTATGGATACTGCTAGTCAAATCATAGGTGTGGAACAGGGGTGCGCGTTCCTCATCCACAAGTGGCTGCTCGATGTATGCGGACGAGGGTGTTGATCAGCGTCGTCTGTGTTCGCTCGAGGAGGTGCGGGACCATTGGTATGGATCCACGCCATAGTGCTGCACGGATTAGTGGAGATTATGCTAAGCAAACAGGTGATCGACGACGGCAAGAAATGGCCGTCGATAGCGGGTTGTTGCGTGGGCACCGGGCGATGGAGAACGCTTGCCGTGGAGGGGGCGTGCACAAGCCACCATTGGCGGCCTTCCGCAATCAATTAGTTCCGGGGGTGGTAGTAGCCCATGCGAATAGTGTCATGAAAAGAAGTGCACCATAGCAGGGGCACTTATTCTTCTGTCTTAGATGAAGTGGGCATCCTCTGGAGCGAGTAAGAGCCGGTATAGCCAGGCTTTGACCTGAGGTGATGTCTGACCATCCCATGAGATTCATCGGGTCTACCCTCCCATCGCAGCCTACTCGCTATCACCTACATCG